TGTTAAATTGTGTTTGAGGAATATAATATATTTTCATTAAGTTTGTAATTTGGTCCCAGTCATTGACGTCGTCAATCAAAATGAAGTTACGCAGCTTACGTCATGCGCAGCGACAAAGCGTGTTCTGCTCTTGTTTGCTGCCTGAAGCTAAAGGTGTTTGAAATGAAACGTGGTTAATATCCACAACAGAATAACCCAGAGGGGGAGAAAAGCCACATGTACCAAAGGTGAGGGGGAGAAAAGCCACATGTGCCAAAGGTGAGGGGGAGAAAAGTCACATGTGAGGTCAGGCTGATGGTGCGAAGACTGCGGAGGGAGAGAGGGCAGCGGAAGAACAGCGCGGTAAAGAGGCCCGGCTTTTCGGAGTCAGTGGTAAAGATGTCCGCACATTAAAAGCCGGGCCTCTTTACCGCGGTCTGAAAACAGTGAGGGCGAGCTGCAAGAAATGCGCTCCCCCTCTGTTAAGGAGCGAGCCCACCAAGCCCATCACTTGCGCCACTACACGAGTAAAAATACGCAAGCCTCCTTTTTTGGGCTAGTGCAGCTCGGTAGTGGCGCGAATCTCTATAAAGGGTTATTCTGAATCAAGGAAATACGTGCTCTTTTCATGTGACGGGAAAGGCTGTTGAGGTGGGGAGTCGCGGGGAGCACAACATACAGGTAAAATGATACAAAACTCAAACTTTAACTGTCAGGAACAGTGGTCGCCGCAGTACTGCATGCTTGGACCCATCTCCAGAGGTTGATGCTCGCTTTGATCAGGAATACCAGAGCAATAGGATTTTACCTATTGTGCCTGTTTTAGTGGTAGTGGAAACCGGAGCACCTGGACAAAACCCGGGCACCTGGAGGAAACCAATGCATACGCGGGGAGAATATGAAAACTCCACTCAGAAATATTCTGTTCTGACCAGGATTTGAACCCAAAATCTTTTGCTGAGAAGCGACAGTGTTAGGCATTCTGTGCTGCCCGATCAGGGTGAAATGGAGGATGTATCTGAGGAGGATCAAGGTGAAGACATAGGATTCAGATGAAGAAGTGACTGAATGAGCCAGAACAGGTTTTGCTTTTACTAACAAATCTTCCATGGCCAAATTGCAATTAATCTAAGAATCAGAAATTTCCCCCACCTCTATTGGTCTCCGTCCTGAACCCAACACTTTCCACAAGTTTCTACTGTCCGTTTTTTTCTAAAGTGTTCAAATGCTGATTGTGGTTTGGCTGGCAAAACCTGCCATGTAGATAAGTGAAAAAAAGTTTTACATTAAGATTTTTGGAACTTTCTCTTTTTGGTCTAGCCCTAATCAATTGCAGGAGGGAGGACAGGTTCTGCTGTGAAATGTCTCCTAAAATCTGAATATCCCTTTTGGTGAGTATATTGCTTTTAGGTCTCAGTAATTTTCAGGGGTCTTATTTAATCTATCTTTCAGCTAGTGTAGGTTAGCTGATGGCAATGCGATCAAAATCGCCTCCCTGGGTCTTCATGAAGACCTGGGCTCTTCTCTTCTCCAGCTCTCAGCGATATCTCAGCTCTGTCTCGCTCAGATCGGAGGCAGTAACATTCTTATCTGCCTGAAAACCCCAGCATTGCGGCTTATCCATTTGGCTGCAGACTGACATTACTGCAGCAGCGCCTCTTATCTCCATCTGCTTCCGAGGTGCAGGCGGCCAACAGGCCCACGACAGGCACATTTCAGTGGAGAAAGAGAAAATGGTTTTCTGTTGTGTGGTTCATGGGTATAACGTCATTTCTGACATGTCGTTATAATGTTAGTAAATAATAATAACAATGAGAAGAAAAATTCTTGCATCCAGACAACGATTCAGAGGATAGTTTTCTCTTCATAACATATTGATTTATTTAGGTATTTTATCCTTTTATGCACTTTGGAAAGAGATCCACAGTGAGAAATCAAGTCCTTTTTCTTTTGAAACACATGTGTCTTCAACGAGACATATGTGTCAATCCTGTAGTTATGTCCATGCAGGGGCTAACTAGGTGAGTTTTTATAATTCTATTATAAACGCCCTTGATCTCCAACTTTTTTAGTGCCACAGACACTCCCCCCGATGATGTATAATGTTGTGTATAAACTAAATGATCGCCTCTGTTAGGTCATTCCTATCTCTACTTCTACACACACACACGACACTAGAAGGAAACACTGGCTGAAGGGCAAACGCCACAAACTCAAATGTACCAGTTTTAGTATCACCTGCAAAGGTCCAAACATCTGGAATGAGCTGGACAGTCCTATTACTCAATCAAAATCATTGAGAACTTTAAAAAAAAGATTGAAACACAGTTTGCTCCAACATTATACAACATTATGAGCCCTGCGCTGAAAACTGTAAACGGGTAAAGAAACTTGTAATGTACTGTATTTATTGTTTTGTTCCTGTATCATGGATGAAGTGAATTATTATGTGGCACGTTTGCTGTGTTAATATCAATGTGTAAAAAGTTACTGTACTATGTCTAAGAGCAATCTATTGGAAAATGAATCGAATGACTGAGACTGCAACTGTGGGGACCTATAGATGGGTGGGGTGGGATGGGTGGGGTGGGGTGGGATTGGTGGGGTGTTTGTAAGTGGGTTTTGGGATTGTGTAGTAGTATGGAATGTTACACTTGTTTCTGCTGTGTTGTTTTATGTGTTATGTGTGTCATGTGTTGTTTTTGGGGCCCTGTCTATAAGCTAATGCAGCTTCCTGGGAGTTCCCTTTTTACAAAACACCAACCAACACTACATTGTAAAAGTGTATAACCAATATGGCTACGAGTTTTGTAAATAAAAGAATTGAATTGAATTGGTGGAGAAGGTCTTGTGTTGGGCTCGAACCCACGACCTTCAAGCTCAAAGGCCAATGCTCTACCAAATGAGCCACTGTCCTTAAGGCATGCAGGCCTAAACAAGACGCCACTGATTCAAAATTACATTGGGACACGCTCATATATTACAAATGGATAAAAAACCATTCATTATGAACTTTCATTCATTGCCAGTGGCTCTGTTGGTAGAGCATAGGCCTTTGAGCCTGAAGGTTGTGGTCTCAATACCCCCACAAGACCTTCTCCACCAATTTCCACTGATGTCTGCTGTTGGCCAAAAACACCAATATTACACGTGAAACACAAATAAATATAAATTTAATAAAGTTCCTGTAATTATTGAATAATTAAAATCACATAAATGATTGTTTATCAGTGAAAATCACAGCCGAATGAAAACAAAACAACACAACCTCAGTTAGAAGAACAAACAAGTGCAGCACAAAATTGCAAATGTCAAAAACCAAATAAGAAACAATACAATCTGCTGAAACTAGTGGGATACATGAAGCTGGTCTTTGGACATTACTAGCCTCTCAATGTTAGGTTGTAGCTGGCTCACTGACAAGGTAAGTATGTCATCAAGGTGTGAATCAGTCTGGACTTGTTCAGGTTCACTAAAAGTCTGCTCACATATGTAAGTGCTGCCAAACAGTGAAAGCATCACCTGTGCATGTTTCTTTATGTGTGGGAACCTTTGTAGTGAGACCTGTGTGTAAAAATCCTTCAGATTCAGCGACATGATTTTATTTTTTACCTCTGTATCACATTGGAACTCAATTAACTCCATTTGAAGGTGATCTGGGACAGAATCAGGGCTAAAGCCTAGTTTATACTCGCGCGGCGCGGAGCTTACGGAGGTGACGTGACGTCACTTGCGCAACGCGTTGGTCGCCGCAAGGCCCTTACGTTGCCTGTCCTGCAGCATCGAAATTTTCTAACTACGTAAGGGTCGCCGCAAGGAATCTCCGCTGTGATTGGTCCGTGTGTGTGTATTGGAAGGTAGCATGAACATATATCTAACTTATATCTAACATATATATAACTTATAAACTGTGCAGTCGTTTGTTTTGCACTGTTCCTGTCTTTGTTTGAATCGTAGCTGCGTTTGTTGCTTTCCTCCTGCACTCGTAAATCGTTCATGTTTGTCTCAGATATTTACCACTATTATTGTTTTGCTGTTTGTGCTGAAAACTATTTAATAATAACTATGTTTCCAACAAGAACTGTGTCGTTATTCACAGCATCACAGTTGAAATGACTTATAAAATAATGAATCCATAAAACTATCACATAAACCTACAGTAGAAACACGTGTAATGAGCTCAAACAGCTTTGTTTGCTATTGTTGTTCTGAAGAGGACAAAGTAGCAGCGTAAATGGGACCGCTCCTGTGTGATCGCCCTCATGTGGTTTGTTGTGGGATTACAACATTCTCCTCAAAACTCCGTAAGGGGAACGCGCCAGTATAACATCAATTGTGCTTACGTAGGTCCACCGCAACCGCTAACGTAAGCCACGCCGCGCAAGTATACACTAGGCTTAACATTGAAGGGACAAGAGAATAGTTCCATATCTCCAGCACTTTTTTTCAAAGTCCATGAAACGCACATCAAACTCCCCATTTAGGTTGCTGACAAGTCCTGCATATTCAGACCAGGTTGACTTCTCTCAGACTAGTGAAGTGAGCCACGTTTCCTGGGAACAAATAAACATTTGTTTTGTTTTACCCCTACAAATATATAAATTCATTCACCACAGCAGAAACAAGAGAATGACATATGTCATACAACGGGGAGAGCGCACGGATACAGTGGCGCACAAACAGGAGCTGTGCGTACTTACAATAAATTAAGAATAAAAACAACAGACTTATAAAGAAAGCAATAAAACGCAGTTAAAAAGCATGCATGCGCTCTCCGCTAATCACACCACACGGGGAGAGCACGAATACAGTTGCGCATTAACAGGAGCTGTGCATACAACAGTATTTACAAGACTTATAAAGAAAGTATTAAAAGGGATGCATGTATGTATCCTTACCAGCAGATAAATGTGGAGAGAGTTGTCCCAGCTTCATTTGAAAGGCCTTCACGTGGTCAAACAGCTTCGTGATAATCTGCTCCTTGCCTTGAAGCTGAACATTCAGTGAGTTGAGCAGGTCCGTTATGTCCAGCTGTCATCTGTAGGGACTTGGATATCACTGCCCTTGGTTGTCAGAAACTCTGCGATGGCATGGCGCAGCTCAAAAAATCTTTTGAGCACTTTCCCTTTGCTGAGCCAACAAACTTTTTGGTGGTACAGCACATCGCTGTATTGCACACCGACTTCTTCCAAAAGGGCCCTGAATTGGCGGTGTGAAAGAGCCTTGGACCGTATGCAGTTTATGATTTTAATGACGTCACGCACCACGTCTCCGAGTCCAATTGATTTGGCACACAGTTGCTCTTGGTGGAGGATACAGTGGTATTGATTCAGCTTACTTCTGCATTGTGCAACTTTCTGAGCAACAAGTGTGGCGAGGCCGGATTTTCTACCGATCCTGGCAGGGGCACCGACCGTTGTTATCCCAACCATTTTCTCCCAGCTCAAATTGTACCTCTCCAGCACCCGAGCGACGGCCGCAAACAAGTCCTCGCTTTTTGTAGTTCCACGCAGCGTTTCCAATCCAGCCAGCTCTTGTGAGATTTCCATGCTGTCGCTCACTCCTCGTATGAAAATTAAAAGCTGCGCTGAATCAGAAATGTCTGTGCTCTCGTCACATGCCAGTGAAAAAACAGAAAATCCACTCGTTTTAGATTTAATTTGCTCCTTAATGTCCCGACTCATGTCTTCAATATGGCGGGTCACTGTGTTACGTGAGAGGCTGATTTGAGAGAAGACTCTTTCCTGGGATGGACACATCCCACTAAACATCCGACGTCCACTCAACCTCCAGATCACGTCAATATCGCGTCGGTCGGTCGTGACCTTTTATTTACGTCCAAACGACGTCTGTGCAAGGTGCGCATCTGGACGTAAAACAATGACCTCCCATATACGTGGATATGACGTTCAATCCCGACCTCCCCAGACGTGGAAAACAGGTCATCGGCCGACCGACGCAGTACGTCTTGATCTAGCAATACAATATATAGGCTGTGAAGCGATCTCAGTGTACCTGACGGTAGTGTAGTGGTTTAGCAAATGTGTGCAGCCTTGGTTACATGAGTTCGATCCCACGTGTGTGTATCATTATCTATACATATTTGTTTCGATTTTTAGCGAACAATTTTTTTCTCTTTGGTTAAAGACTAATAAACACTCAACATAGGATTACGTAGTGGCTAATAATAAAACTTGTGAATGTATGCATTTGTTGTGCTAACAATCTCAAGTTTGAAAATAAGGGGTGAGCACTTGAGATTTTATGCAAATGCATGGGTTCACAAGTTTTATTATTAGCCACTACATAATCTTATGTTGAGTGTTTATTCGTTTTTAACCAAACAGAAAAATTGTTCGCTAAAAAGTGAAAAGTCAAAAATTTTCCAACGGGGATTTGAACCCGCGTCATTGCGACTGAATTGCGTCTCATTACGCAACCGCTACACCACCGCCAGGCATTTTTTCTGACTACTGTGAAAAAATAATAGATAACACCCTAAACAACCGACGCACACTTATGCGAGGTTACAGCCTGACACGTGAGTCGCTCGGTCGACGACCTGTTTTCCACGTCTAAACGACGTAAGGTGTGCATCTGGACGTAAAGCAATGCCTTCCCAGACGTTGATATGACGTTGAATCTGTACCTCTGTCGCTGCCCTTTATTTACTTGGAATCACCCTCTCTACTAAGTACACAGTCTGCACAGTTTTTAGATATAGATGTATCATTTCCACATTGAAAAGAGTTGGAGACAGAAAGTAAGTTGTTTTCTCACGTATACGTGGATTTTGTTAAAGTTAAAAATTAAATTGACCTCCTGGCCTTAAATGTTGATATAAAATAAGTCATTTTATTAATTCTAATATTACGGGGAAGTCCCGCCTTCCCTGCTCTTAGCTATAGTTCAGAATCCACGGTGCCGTCGAGGTTAACCAATCGAGTCATGCCAAGGGCTGTCAATCATCAGCACTGATGCTCGCAGCTGCGGTCATGCGCAGTTGTTTGTTTTCGCCGAGGCTTGATTTCTCCGAATCAAGCCTCTATTAGGCTCTGGAACAACATGAAAACTGAACAAAGAATTCTGAACATCCGCGCTGAGGTACTTATGTATATACTGAACCTATATCCATAATCAGACCCTCTGCAGATGTGTCCTATAATGTGCAATTCATGATAATAGCACTTCCTGGTTTGCCGAGATCGCTTTTTTGTGTGCATAAAAACATATTTTTTTTCATTAAAACGTTCACAAATAATTCTGAAAACCTCCGTGCATGTGTATTAATAATGTATATGTATAATATGTTCTCTGATTAACATTTCAAAGTGTTACGGAAACGTAGGTGTAGACCAATCAGAAAGGAAGGGGGAGGAGCTTGCGTTGTTTTTTTTTCAAATCAAGTACCTCTCTGTCTCTCTTTCTGACAAACTGCAGACAATCACTTTAAGTATATTTTGCATATTATCTGTATTTTGAATTGCCAGTGCATGAATCTATAATAATAACGGCTGGCACTGCTCAGCTGAAAGGGAGACACCTTTTTTTAGTTTTTAAGTTAAAGTTTAAAATATGATATTGTTTTTCATATTTCAAACTATTTTAACACATTACAATTGTTAGGTTAGACTGTCCAACAAACTATGTCTTAAAAAAGGTTAAGATTCTTGAGTTTTAAAATATTAATTCAATTCTAAAATGTAAAGTTACTGTATATTTCACAATGGTTTATAAACTGCAAAAAGACAACAGTACTTAGTAAACTACGTTTAAAAACAGGGAGATCAGCTTTAATATTTGGGACACTCCCACCATTTAGACACCTGTGATGTCATCAGTTGGAGTTGAGTTCAGGTGTGGGACCATGTGGGACCATGTGGGACCATAGGAGCACACAGATGTTACCTGCTGCAGAAAGAGAGTTTAATGTTCATGTATTGCTTTGTTTAATAAATTGATTTAATGTCTTCCCATTAAATCTTCAATGTCAGAGACTTTCACTTCTTCTCACTGTGGCTGTTTAAATGAGCCACTACAGTTGTTATTTTTGTTATTGTTAGCTGCAAATATTAAATATCCATTCATCTGCTGGTAGCAAGCTAACTAGCGCTTGCAACTCTATTCAATTTCTTACTTTTTCTTATAAACATTAAAACCAGCCATATGTTAATTAAAATACATTTACCTTTGCTAATGCAGTCAATTATTGTGAAATCCATAGAGTATAATTTCATGATTGTTGCAATAACTAATGTTCTATGTGTGTTCCTAATGTGTCATGTGTGTTTGAGTCTTACAGGTGTCAGACTGTGTTGAAGGTGTTCTTACAGGTGTCAGACTGTGTTGAAGGTGTTCAGAAACTCACTCAAGATGAGGGAAAAGAGCAACAAGGGGAAAATGCCCCCTCGGAAATGCAACATATAGAGTAATACAGGGTAAGTAGCTTTCAGGGCTCATTTGTCCATGTGCAAAACAAATGCACATTTGCAATTGTTTTTTACATGGAATTACTCCAATGACCAAAGCCTTATCCCAAGTTTCTCAGACGGAGTGTCTTCCAGTGTCTCGAGCTAGTGCAGTGCCAAGGTTTGTATCACATGGTGATGGATCGAGTGGTTTGAGGCATTGATAGAAAGTTATGTGTTGTTATTTCAATTTGGAGAGACGTGAAACAAGAAGCTTTTGAGTATTTATTGGGAGGAGGTTTGGCGCCCTAGGCCCCGGTGCGGCCTTCAGATCGGAGGGGCTCTGCGATGGAGCATGCCAATCCCCCGGGACCTAGGCACTGGTGGCGGCATTTGGCAGCGGGAAGCAGATTGAAGGCAGAATGAAGCAGGGTGAAGAGGAGGAGGAGGGGAGGCGGTGGCTGCAGGCTTCAAGAGGCCGAGAATGGGAGTTCCTCCGCTTTTAAGCAGCTTGCCTGGCTGGACCGGTGATTGGAAGGGGGCGTTTGCCGTGCGATAGGCTGGGGATGAGAACCGGCCTGGAGGGGTTACCTTTGGCTGACGTCTACCAAATTGAACTTACGCTGGCTGCATTTCAATTTGGAGAGACGTGAAACAAGAAGCTTTTGAGTATTTATTGGGAGGAGGTTTGGCGCCCTAGGCCCCGGTGCGGCCTTCAGATCGGAGGGGCTCTGCGATGGAGCATGCCAATCCCCAAAAAGGTTGTGAGTTGATGGAGTTTTGCAGCCTGGTTTGAAGGGGACAGACGTCGAGACTACTCTATGCTGTGACCGCTATCGCTATATGCTGTGACCGCTATCGCTATATACTGTGACCGCTATCGCTATATACTGTGACCGCTATCGCTATATACTGTGACCGCTATCGCTATATGCTGACGAGTCGCGACCATCGCGCGCTAACCATTTTTTTGCTATATACTGTGACCGCTAACCATTTTTTGCTATATACTGTGACCGCTAACCATTTTTTGCTATATACTGTGACCGCTAACCATTTTTTGCTATATACTGTGACCGCTATCGCTATATACTGTGACCGCTAACCATTTTTTGCTATATACTGTGACCGCTATCCACTATATGCTGTGTGACCGCTATCTATTGTGACCAAACTTGCGGATCCTCAGCCGAGCAGTCTCTGCCGAGCAGTCTCTGCCGAGCAGTCTCTGCCGAGCAGTCTCTGCCGAGCAGTCTCTGCCGAACAGTCTCTGCCGAGACTGTTGCTGCGACCATTGCTTGCGGATACTCAGCTGCTGCTTGCGGATACTCAGCTGCTGCCGCCACCAGGAAGTTTTGCAAGTGTTTTATGGAGATGCAAAGAGGCGCTGGGCTGCCAGGATGGTCGAAGTGTCAGGCCTGATGTATGAGGAGAGGGCCGATGATGACCAGCGGCCCAGCTGCTGGAGGGCGAAATAGGGGAGCCCAAGGGACGCGGCGCGCGTGGCGGCGCCTATCCGAAGGAGTGGGCTGTGTAGAGATGGGGAGACAGGTTACAAGCAGCAGTACGTACTTGAGTTGGGCTCTGAAACAGACGGATGACATTGGAAGGTTATCGGGAGCGCGGAGGAGATGCTTTGAGGGAAGGGCGTCGGGCCAGGGCCCGGCGAACCACTGGACCTGGAAGAGACCCCCAAAACCCACGGACGGGGCTGCGTCCGTGAAGAACCGCAGGGCATCTGAGGACGGGATGACGTCACTGTAAAAAAAAAATACACCGTCCCAGCGGCTCAGCAGACGGGACCCGAACGCCAGGTCGGAGCGGCACCCCCGCGTCCGGGCAGACAGCGTCGTTGAGGGAGGAGACGGAGCCAGATATAAGCAGTTCCATATACAAGCAGTTCCATCTATAAGCAGTTCCATATACAAGCAGTTCCATATACAAGCAGTTCCATATACAAGCAGTTCCATATACAAGCAGTTCCATATACAAGCAGTTCCATATATAAGCAGTTCCATATATAAGCAGTTCCATATATAAGCAGTTCCATATATATATAAGGTTCCAGATATAAGCAGTACCAATATATGCAGTTCCATATACTGCATGAGCAGTTCCAATATGAGCAGTTCCAATATGAG